TGTATTTATACCTCAATGTTTCAGTCCAAATGATTTAAATGAGAAGAGAGTTAAATGGAGGCAAAGAGAATAACCAAAAACGTTCTCGTTATTTATTTTCTTTTATTTATATTCTTCATGCTCAGCTGTTTGATGTGCCTCCAAATGTGACTAATGTGTCCTATTGATAAAACTGACTGAGAGTAAAGCAGCTCTGTAATAGACACTTATACAGAAATATGATCACTGCTTTATGTGTCCAGTATTTAATCATATTCAAAATGCTTTTTTTGTTTAAAAAAATAGAAATAATATTTTATAAATATCAGTAGGGGTATCCTATTTAGGTATGAACTGTATTAATGTTTTAATTTAGCCAATATAAAAATGACAACAATAGAGTCCTGCAAATAGCCAACAGAGACATCTTTTGGAGCCTTAGTTTTCCATTTTTTTTTTTTTTCATTTTTCGTTTGTCTGCTTCTGCTGCATAGTAGTCTAGTACTGGTAGTAGTCTTTGAGCTCCTTGTCCATTTGTAGGTTCTCTCTGGTTACTCTTATCAGCATGAATCTGTATGCATGGTTGTTTTCCCTCAGTGTTTCTGTGTTGCCCTGTGATTGATCTCACCCAGCAACTGTTAGAAATAGGTGCCAGCCGTTCCACCACCCTGCATGAAAAAAGCGGATCTATATACATACGGAGGAATGTTTCTAAACTGTTATGTGAATGGCTCTAAACTTTGGAGACATTTTAGATCCTATTTTAAAGCTCAGCAGTGTTATTCACTTAATTTCTGTACAAAATGAGAGAGAAAGCACAAGGACTGTTAAAATTTTATAGACATATTTAGAATAGAATAGAGTAGAATAGCATAGAAAATCCCTTTATTGTCCCACGTTGGGGAAATTCCGGTGTTTACAGCAGCAAAAGGATTATAGAAAAAAAATGGTCACAATAATGTGGACCTTAGAAAAATGTACTGTATAAAAATAGCACAATAGTGAAGAGTTAAAAGATAAACAAATGAAATACTGTACTGTAAAGTGTTTTAACAATATAAATACTGTGCACCTGGAGAACAAATAACCAACATACAGCTATGGACATTTTTATTTGAAAGTAGCAGCAACATCAGAGATGTGCAAAATTACAGCAGCATATTATTTAACTGACTAAGGTAGAAACTGTGTAAAATCAGCATGAATGTAACAATTTATTGAGGTTGTTGGGAACGGTGATGGTTATAAACTCTTACAGCTGTTGGGAGGAAGGATCTGTGATAACGCTCCCTGGTGCATTTAGGGTGCAGCAGTTTGTCACTGAAGGAGCTCTCCAGTTCTGCAACAGCTTCATGAATGGGGGTATAAGCCTTAGATTATAGATTGTTGTGTGTTGCACAGTGACACCACACCAGGATGCCACGTTTCTGTACACCGAGCCTCTGGGCAGAGTGATGGGAGTGTGGATCGCCTTGGAGGATGCGACTGTTAACAATGGCTGCCTATGGTTTATACCAGGATCACAGAATAGTAAGCACAAAAAATCCAGGGTTTTATCTCCTGGTTCAATTGGGTTTACATGTATTCCTTACTTTACCACCTCTTTTTTTAAGGTGGTATTTCCCGTCGAATGTTGCGCACCCCGAAAGGCACCTTTCCACTGACGGACTTCATCGGAAGAGAGCGAACTTATGACGAGGAGAAGTTTGTAGCTGCACCTGTTAAAAAAGGTTAACGTACTAAAGCACGGCTTTGATTGGGAATTTGATTTGGATCAATTAAAGATGTGTGAGAGAAGAAAATGCCTGATTTGGTCAACTGTCAAAATCAATGTTTGCTAGCTTAATCTAAAATTTTATACTTAATCTATTTTCTATCTGCAGATTAGCCTGTTTGCATCAATGAGATAATCTTATTATCCCCAAATATATTCAGGCCTTAAAATAGTTCAGTTAAACCCATTCTAAACTGGTTTAATGAACTGATTCTGATCCATCTCTCTGCATTCAGGTGGTGTGGTTCTGATCCATGGAGAGGTCGTGCACAAAAGTGCTGAAAACACCTCTGAGGACTCTCGTCATGTCTACACCTTCCACATCATGGAGACTCTGGACACTCGCTGGAGCCCTGACAATTGGTGAGAACTGGTTTTAGTTTTCTATCATTTATTCTCTAAACATTCCCAGTTTAATAAACATTAAAGTCTAAGAAGGAATCAATGTCTAATCTTACTCGGATTTAATAAAAAAAACAACACAGATGTAAACATCAATTAGTATGCAGATTTACTTTTATGCACATGTAACACTTTCATTCTACCATAGAAACTATTAGATTATATTGTTTCTTTCAACACATTGTGCTTTGCATTTGAATCGTTTTCATTTTTGTTTCCAAAATAGAAATGTAGCCTATTAAACTTGATTCCATCTGATTTTGTCCTCCTAGGCTGCAGCCCACTGAGGAGCTGCCATTTCCACCTCTTTACACCAAATGAAGAATGTCTCTGGCAGCTGGAGCTGAGCTCACAAAGGTGGACCAAGGAATAGTTTTATACTACGAGCATGCTGAACGACGTCATCTGCAGCAAGTTTTTGAGAATAATGTGTCATGACTTGGAGACTTTGGCTAATCTGACTTAATCTGACTTTTTGTTTAAATGTTTTTTGGTCACAGCTCCTGAAGTGGGCAAACTTACTCAAAATAGAACCAGAGAATTGACCAAACAGAACCTTGATTTAAAAACATAATTTCTTAAACAAAATCTAGTTTGCTATGGCTTATAAGGTTTCACAAACACTTCCAAAGTGAAAGCTGTGGATGTTTGTGAGGAGCTAATTCTTCTGTTAGATGACTGCGATGATGATGTTGTAAAAATGCTTTTTAATAATCAAAAACTGTATCATTAACAGCTCTTTTCTATAACTTTTCTTGGAGATGTTTATAAAATAATGATGTCAGTTGATTAGGGCAAGGCAAGCTTGTAAAAGCAAAAAAGTATTGCACCAAAACTCTGACTCCACCTCTGATGATGACATGTTTTCTATACCCACATGGGGCCTAATGTCAAAATGCAGTATTTCATGCTTTCAAAAATAAGGGAGGAATTTAGAACACCTAGTTATGAAATACAAAGATTTTTTTATTTATTTTTTTTTTTAGTACCCAATTGTCATTATCAGTTTGTTTAACAAACCTCACCCAACCTTAATCTAACAAAATACAGCTTGACCAAACTCAATTTATTACAATCAGAGTTGAACATTGACGTTCAGGCAAACCCTTGGAAGCTACAAAACCCCTTAAACCTGTTATTTAACAAAAATAAACATCTAAAGCTTTCTCTGTAGCTCTCCAGTAACCCACTATGACTGAAGTTGAAACCCACTACAAGAAAATCCAGTCTGTATATAATGCTTCAAGACAATAATGAAACCATGTTTATTTTTTTAAACGTGAAAAATAATCACTGAAATAAACCTTACAATTTCATGATCTGTCTCACTGGTTGTTTTATTTGTTCATGTTTTTTGGGGATTTCTAGTGAGCTATTTAACATTTATATACTCCGCCATTAAGATTTTGTAAACATTGTCCTGAATCAGAATTTAACGTTGATTTACAGGATGTTTTAATTGTCACAATCAAACGCAATTTGGGGGATTTTATAAAACAAATCCAACACTTAGTAATGCATAGTTATAAAACGGAGGCCGAAAGATATAAACAGACATCCTTAAATTTATTAGAACTGTGTTCGGTGCAGTTACATCATATTTAGTCTAAATGGAGGAAAGTCTGTCAGATAGCAGCTTTAATCACCCAGTTATAAGTTTTGGGGCATATTGTTTATGGGATTTAGATTCAACTCTGACCATTAGGTCAATAAACACATGAAAAGGAGCGATATAAACCAGGGGTCTCCATCACTGCTTCAGTTTCTTCAGACATTGGGCGTCTCTGGATCCACACCTTCAAAATACATTATTGTCATTCTTATGAGTTATTTTAGTTATCAGTTTTCAGTCATTATCCATGTCCGTCAGTTACATTTTGATTTTTTTCAATGCATCTGCCTTGTCCCCCACCATAACTCTCTTGGCTGGTCCTACCTCGGCTGTTAGGTCACATGGTCTGGATAGATTTACGTTGTGTCGGTCTTCATCTTTAGACGACCGGTGAAAGATGTTTATAACTTGCAATGTTGTTTAATAACCTAAATACTGTTGTCAAATTCTTGATAATCTCATCTCTGATCTGTGTTCCTTGTTCATCATCATGTCTTTCTTTAACAAACCACTAAGGTCTTAATAAAAACAGCTGCCCATATTCTATGATCAAATTGAACAAAGATGACTTTTAATGAATAACTGCCAGTTGGTTACTCCAGGTTTTATTTTGATTTATCGATATAAAATGTACTAATCAGTAATAATTTATTATTCTGATTTTACATGATTACTATTTATCATTCTTTCTGAAGGTGAGTACAATAAAAAATAATTTAATTTTTTTCTATTCTAACTTTTTGATGGTATATAATATAAAAATCCCAATAAAATACATCAAATGTACCAAAATACAAGGAAGTATGGGTGTTTTAGTGAACGTTCATTTTTAAGATGCAGCTGAACTTAATAAACTTCAATACTAAATGAGTTTTAAACATCAACATGTTGATCTTTTTATTGAGAATCAAATTAAAAATGAAAAGGCTCTTTTTTGGGGGCTTTTTAAAGTACAGTCATCCAGTTACACAAAAGCAATCACAGTCATCTATGAAGCACTCATCATGCAATAGTATAAGAACATAAAACAAGGAATAGTAAAGATAACAGCATACTACTATGCTAATAAACACATCAAATATTTAAAAATATAAATATAAACACTGATCAAGGATTGTACAACAAATTTATGTATAAATAATGAACTCGGACATTGTGACAGTTGTAAATACTTCTAGAAAACATTTTTGATTTATTTCAAATAAAATCTCACAGCCTGTTTATTAGTTTGACTAAAACATGCATCCTCAGTTTAGCAATGAAATAGACAATATGGGTTTAACTGTATTGGTCCAATTAAACCACAAAAACTGCTCAAAGTAAATATTTACTGTAAAATATAAATGTTACAGTATTGAAGTCCACATTAGTGTCATGCAGAATCATAAAGAGAGGCAGCCATTGTAGGAAAGTGTTGCTTTAGTCTGCCAGGCTCTTACCTACATCTACTACAACAATCAATCACCTGTTAGAGATATTACACTTCTTAAGGCATAGTTTTACCGTGAGGTGGTTCATATTGCCATCTGGGAGTTATTACTACAGAACCAAAGGGTTGATAAAGAGAGAAAACTTTAAATTATGTTCTTCCAAGGCAACGCAGGAATAAATTGGTTCCAAATAATATAAAAAAAACAATAAGAAAACAACAATCAGTTATTTTGTGTGCCAAGTGTAATGTGTTCTCACTGTGCTCAACTCAATCTCCATTTGCATAATTTAAGAGTTATCTTCAGAATTAGGGCAGAAACTTACACCACTTGGACCCAGAGCTCATGTTTCTTTATAACCTGTTCCAGAAGCGATTAGAACCACTTGGCGACATTTTCAGCAGATTTTCTGTGTCGATTGGTTTTATCTCTTCGTTCTCTCAGATGAATCCTAAAGGGCTTCTGCTATTGACTTTCCTTTAAGACATTTTCTTCATAAATTGGCTTCCTCACAATAAACATCTGAACACATCCATCGTTTCTTTTATTTGTTCATTTAAAGCAACAGCAGGATGAAGAGGTAGAGCGGGAGCAGCAGATTGTCTATCTGGGAGGTGTAGGCCTCCAGCAATGCCACCAGGGTGATAGAGCCAACAATCCATGAGTAGGTGGAGTTCAGATTGATGTTTGCATCAAAGATGAGGAACATCGCCACGGCTATGATCTGGGCAAACACGGACGTTGCTGTTCCCTCTAAGGTTTTCTTGGTCCCCGGCCAACGGATCTCCCCCATGGTGCTGCCAAAAACAGACGCCACGGTGTCTCCAACTCCCACTGCCAGCACGCCTGCATAAGGTACCAGGCCCCCTGCCCCGGTGAGGATCCCCTTGGGAGCACAAGGTCCAGGAAACAGCCAAATGGGCAAAGACATGCCAAGCAGCAGGTAAATGTGGGTCAGAATGAGAGGGCCAGAGTCCCGTTCGTCCAGGAACAAGGTGAGGAGCTGCCTGAGCAGCTGACCAAAAGGAAGAATTCGAAAGTACCGTACATACTCCAACAACAAGAAAACTGCCAAACATCCCACAGACGCCACGTGGAGCAGCTGTCTGTCGTATATCAGTCCTGGAACATAGGTCGCCACAACGATCAGGTGGAAATACTTCCTAACGACCGTGGAGGCCTGGTGCTTCTTGGATCCCGACTGGCGTTTATAGTTCTGATGTAGAACGACACAGGTCGCTACGACCACAAGAAACACCCAATATCCAAGCAAACAGAGTCTTCGGTCATTCAGGGTGAGAAAGTCCAAAAGCCACATGATTGGGTGTCGGCCGATGAACAGCGACAGCCACGGCATCAGGATACCCAGAACCAGAACCGCTGTCATCATGTGGAAGAACAGGGAGGACACCCAAGTCTCAGACTCCATGAAGCAGAATAGCAAGGCGAAGAAAACACCCAACAGCAGCGAACCCACCACCACCACTGGCAGGAAGTAGTTCACTGGATCGCCCTTTACCTCTGCCAGGTTCAGCGAGCGCTTGATGAGCTGGTTCACGATGAAACTTATTCCACCCACAATGAGGAGAGCCTCTCCTGGTGTGAAGCACCGTGGAAGCAAGTAAAGAACAATCAGGCAGAGATAAACAAAGATCAGCAACACCTCTAGGACCTCGATGACCTCGGACACTGTTAGGGTCTGCTTCGTCGTGTAGAGGATCGCGCTCCCGGACAATCCTGCAATTATGCATGTGTTGGTGGGGACGGGTCTTGTAATACCCAGAGCGATCAGCGAGAGAAACAGAGCCAGCATCATTCCTGTGATGGTAATCACCATGGAGAAGCGCTCAAAGTAGACATTCCCTGAGGCAGAGCACTTTTCTCTCAGAACCAGGCCCAGCAGTGGCATAACCATGGAAGCTGGAACGATACCACTGTTAGCAGATGGACGGAACTGGAACACCGCAGCACCGGACTTTAACAAGCGATCCCATTTATACTGGACGTAGAATGCCTGAATGACAAGGGCTACGCTGCACCAGGAGTGCTGGTTCCAAACCGCCAAATGGACGCAAAGAACCACAGCCAGGATGACTACGGACTCCATAAGGACTGGGTTTACTTGCATGGTTTCAGTGAGAAGGAGCCTGTATGGAGATATGGGGGGAGGTGAGCCGAACAGGTGATCCGAAGCAGTTCAGGATATCTCGTCACTTCCTTTTTATATCAGTCTTCATCACTTGGCAGGTGTGTCTCACATACGACTGACATCTATAAATAATAAGAGGAAAGGATTCAATTAAATCAAAAGTAAATAGTAGCTGTTACTGAATTAAACACAGTAAAAATTATTTTCTTTGGGTTTAAATGGGCCTTTTGCACTTTTTTATTATGTTGATTTTTCTGTCTTTTTTTTTTTTTTTTGCAATGAAATCTATTAGAATAAAATAGAATATACTAGAATAGAATAGAAAATCCTTTTGTACCACAATGGGGAAAAGAAGAGCTCAGTTTAAAAAAGAATGTGGTGAGTGTGAGAAATTCCCTGACCGAGCACGTGGGTGGGAAGCCCAGGAGACGTGGGTGATCTTTTTACACCAGCTGCAACCTTTGTTCCTGTGGGGGTGGAAGTAACCTCAGATCAGGATTTTTTTTTTCTAAAAATATCATGCCTTTTTTAGAGGGAAAACTGAGAACACAGCCTCACGTTTTGTTTATATTCCTGCATAAACAGTTCACTGGGTGTTGTTTCAGAGAGGATGCTGCAACCTCAGACGGCTGACAGTGAAATCCAGCTGATTGCAGCCAGTTAGCCACTGAGAACCTACAGAGGGGTTTTGCAGCCAAAATAGTGCCACAAAAAGAAGAAACAAGAACACCTACCTCACAAGTAGAGCTATATCTAGACCAGCATGCGAGGTGACAGAAAGAAGTTCCGTCGTTTCTATGTAGATCTGTTCGCTTTGTCAGCTGTCGCTTCTCTCACAGCTTGCAGGAGGGAGCCATGTTTGACAGCCATATCACGTGGTACAATCAGAAACCTCACAGCTAAGAAAACTAGCTTCTTCTTCTTCTTCTTTTTTTTATGGCGGTTAGCAAGCAACTTATTGATGCGCATTACCGCCATCTACTGGAATGGAGTGTGAATCGGGAAGCTATTTATAAATTCTTCCACAAAACAAACAAACAAATAAATAAAATACCATTATAATAATTAAGTTACTAAATCTTATATCCTTTCTATTGATTTCGTTTTCTTAAGGTAATTCATTAAATTAAAAAAAGTAGAGAGCTTGTCCAAAATATCTTGTATATTTAATTGCAATAAATTTTTTGTAACTAACTAACTCCCTTCTCTTAACAGAATATTTAAATATTAAATATTTAAAACAGACTAACAAAACATGTTTTACTGTCTCTTCTTGAAAACAAAAATGTCTATTTTGTTGGATGTTTTCCCATTTTAAATAATGTACTATTCAAAGAAAACTACTTTTTTTCATGATTCATTTATATTGTGTTCTAATAATAATAATAACAAAAATAATAATAACAACAACAATAATAGCGTAGGTTATTACGTTTTAATTCTAGATTTTTATATTTTATAAAATAATATGGAGGTAAAAGTAGATTGTCCTGTCAATTAATGGGGGTTATAAAATGTTTTTTTTTTTTTTTTTTTTTTACCGGTTTTAAAATCAATTTGAAATGTTTCACAATTTTACTGTTTGTTTAAAATAAGCACAATGACAAAATTATTTTTGGAAAATATAAAATTAAAGCCTGATTTTTACTTGTTCTCTCCAAAATTAGTTTTAGTTTTATTTTTGATCACTCTTCTCCTGTAACCGTACTTATACTTTAACTGTTGTTCCAAACGCTCTTTTAGCTTTCAAGTCACAGCCTGTTCATAGATACAAGTCTTTTATTGTTATTGTTCTTTTAAAATAAATAATCCAAAAAACATAATGAATGTTCATTGACTCAAAAAGAAAAAAAAAAATCACTAAAATTATGACTTTTTATGGGACTAATCATTACATTTCTAGGGGATTAATTTTGGGGCAGTTTATACCATCAAAACTTTTGTAACTGAGACCCGATACTTCCACTCAGGCAAGAAGAAAGACGTGATTAATAAATTGTATATTCAATATCTATATAAATTACAGAAAAAAAACTGACGCAAACTAAGTCAAAATCGTGAAATCATGCCGTTATCTTCGTTTAAATTGAAAGCTCTCGTAGTTGTGTCAGAAGAATCCTTTCTCATTATTCAAATCTTTCCATCAGCTCGAAACAACATATGACCTGACGTACTAACCTCTGTCCAGAAGATAGCACTAAAGCGAGCTTGAAGACGAATATTAACAACAGAAGAAGAAGATAGTGTGACGGCGCTGAGCACTGACCAATCACAGAGCCGGAGCGAAGATGGCGGAATCGGAGATGAGCGTTAGGTGGGTTTACAGCCACACACTTCATTTAACATTTAGAATGTCTGAATTATTTTAACAAAAATATTAACGAGAAAGTATATTCGAACGAAGCCCCGCATATTAAACGGAAGGCGTCGGTACATTTGACGGTCTGTCTTTATAACTATTAGCGCCACGCTCCGTTAGCTTAGCAACTACTGCTAATATTTGAAAGGCTATTCTTCAGTGCGGCGCCGCATGTCAACAACAGGAACAAAACTTACCGAGTGATGTTACTTTTTTAATGAAAACACCACGTTAATTCGAATCAGACTCCCTCTTAGTTAGTTTCTACAACTATTAAAATTAAACTGCCATTAAGTGTTTAGGGGGAAAAGCCACGCAGCTGTTTGTTACATACAGGACCACGAAATTGGCTTACATTTATTTTTAGTATAATAGTTATGAATTTAGAAGTTTTAGTTTAAGCTATATATCCATATCGATGGAATATCACACTTACATTGCAGTTAAGTATTTTCTTTGAGAATGCAGTTTTTTAAACGTTGATATTGCAATCATAGTGCAGATGCTCTGTCTAGTGTCGGAAAATTTTGATTTCTCTTATTTCATATAATAATTTATCCTATTTACTCATTATAAAAGTTTTCACTCAGTCTCTTTCACCTGCAAGGCCACACAATGCCCCTGTGTGAAGATGTTTGTTGGCCAGACATAGCTTCTTCCCAAAACAAGCCACATTCTTTCTCAAGCTTTATTCATAACATGTTACTGTTAATCAAAGTGTCTGTAAATTGTTTTGACTCAAACTACTTTTTCATTGTTGTAAGTAAGGGGGAACAAATGCTGCTCAGGCAAAACAAGACTGAATGCTGTGCCATAAGGACTGTATGATGAACTGTTCTCTCTTTGCAAAAATTTGATTTAAAAAAAGTGGAGACTGAGTGAACTCCATCAATCTCCGATAATTTAACTAGGGTGAATAGTTGAATATTTTTTCCCACTACACTAGCTTCTTAATGAACATATACTCAGTGCATCTTGAGGTGATTTGCCATTTACTACTGTGAAGTAGCGATCATATCAGCTAAAACACAATCAAGTACCAAAGGAATCAGGACATGGATGTTGACATGTGTTGGGTTTATAAACTCTGCACAATTTGTGCTCCACATTCAAACTGCCTTATCCTGTGTTCTGTATCACACGTTGCTAATGTGCATTTCCAGCAGTAGTTTACCTAAATACACCACTTTCATCTCTTTCAGGAGCTGTCGAGAATTATGGACTATTTTGTTGGGGAGATCTGCATTGAGGGAGCCGGTATGTCTCCTCACTTCTTCTATGACTACTTTGAACATTTAATTGGTCAGTTTACTTTTGGTACTTCTAGCTCCTACTCCAATAAAAGAAAAACATGTTTGTTTTGGAACGTGGCAGGCTCAGATAGAGGGAGAGCTTGACAGAAACTGGGACAGACTGCATCAAGGACTTGGTTACTACAAGCTCCCCAGGTACAGGTTTAAATCATTTTGCAACATATGCATTGTTATTTATAAATGAATGACTAATGCAGGGATGTCAAGCTCCAGTCCTCAAGGACCGTTGTCCTGCAGCTTTTAGATGTCTCCCTGCTCCAACTTACATGAACAAGAATCTCCTCAGTTCTCCAAATTCATGCTAATTACCTAATTATTGAATTAAGATGTGTTGAAGCAGAGACTCCTCTAAAAGCTGCAGGACACCGGCCCTCAAGGGACTACAGTTTGGCATCCGTGGACTAATGGTTAGCTTCTTGTCCTGTAGCTCATCCTCTGCTGGAAAAGTGAAGGATAACAAAGATGTAGCACAGCCTCTAAAGGACTTTGGGTTCAGGATCAGTAAATTGTTGGTGAGTTTTCTTTTAGTTTCACATGCATGCATTGGATGTCAGTGGGTGTGCTAAGCTTTGCGTTCTTAAATGTCACAGAATCTGGACGAGCAGCAGAGCGTGCAGCTTTTACAGTGGTACCTGCAGGAGGACTACAGAGGAACTCAGGACTCGTTAAAAGTATTTTAACTTTTTTTCTTTTTAAGTGTCTCTCCCATCAGCTTTTTCAATCATCAAGTGGTACAAAGAGAGAAAGAAGTGCATTATTGGTGATGATTAATGAGGGTTTTCTCTACAGGTTGTTCTGAAGGATGAACGGCAAAGCCAGGCACTTCTCATTAAGGTGATTCTATAAATCTGTTACTATGAATTTTAATTGTAGTTTTTGAAATTACAGTGTTTATTCTTTAATTATGATTTTTATTTGTTATGCATTGTTTTTGGGTTGTTTTTTTTTGCAGATAGCTGATTACTATTATGAGGAGCGCATGTGTCTGCTTAGATGTGTTCTCCTCCTGCTCACATACTTTCAGGATGAGCGCCATCCCTACCGGGTGAGAAGCAGCTACATTTATGTTAAGTGCAGAGAAAGTATTTGGTGGTGAAGATTGTTGGTTTTATTATTTAACATCCGGTTTCTGCTTGTGTTTGTTTTTCTGTTTGTAGTCTGAGTACAGTAACTGTGTCAACAAATTGGAGAAAGACCTGGTGAGCAACTATCAGTCGCAGTTTGAGAATCTGTTCAAGGCCGAAGCACCGACATGGGAAACCCATGGCAACCTCATGGTAAGCGCCCTGCAGAAATATTCGAAAACTTTTGAGCTTTTCAACCCTTTTTTCCTGCCACAACCATAAACCTCATCTGATTTAATTGGGATTTTTATATGATACATGAACACAAGGATTGTTTTACCGTTGGTAATGTTTTTTTGTTTGTTTGTTTTTAACAGACTGAGCGGCAGGTCTCACGCTGGTTTATGCAGTGTTTGAGAGAACAATCCCTGGTGCTGGAGATCATCTTCCTGTACTATGCGTACTTTGAGATGAGCCCATCTGACCTTCTGAAATTTACCAAAATGTTCAAAGAACAAGGCTTCGGCTTACGGCAGACCAACAGACACCTAGTAGACAAGAGCATGGACGCTATAGTGGACAGAATTGGGTAAGACTCATTGAAGAGTAGGTATTGTCTGGTTAGATAAACTTGAATAAGAATACACATTTTATACTTCCATATAAAGATATATAAGCAGTTATTTCCTTTCTGATCTGAAAAAGTCTGGAATTCTTGATAAAATTTAAACTGGTAGGAAAAAATGGCTGAGTTGATCTCTGCCAAAACATCAGCTATAGATATGCAAAACATCTCTAAATAAGTCCTTCTTTTATATTGAACAAGAAGGTTGACAAAAGCCATTTGATCTGAGGTTATATTTGATTGGTCTATTTTTAAGTAGTTTTTAATGGTCTTTTGTTTCTCTGGTTTGCAGATATTTGAGCTCTCTCATCCTGGTGGAGGGAATGGACATCGATTTTCTGCACAAGTGCGCTCTGGAGGATTGCACAGAGCAGCATCAGTTTTCTGGGGCCCCTGATGTCGTTAAGGTCTGATTTTAATGAGCAGTTGGTTTAGCCCCCCACAAACAAAAAAAACCCCACAAAGGATGTCAATTAATGATGTCTGTGTATTTTCCGGCTTTTCCAGGAGATGGATCAGCTGCTGTTGACATTTGGTGACATCCCTCATCATGGACCCGTGTTGCTGGCCTGGGTCCTGCTGAGACACACCCTCAGACCGGATGAGTCCAGTCCTGTGGTCAGGAGGATTGGCAACACTGCTCTGCAGCTGGGGGTCTTCAAGTACCTCTCAGCCATGCTGAAGGGGCTTGGAGTCTCAGGAAATAATGTATGAAACCATTTTAATTGAATTGAGAGTGTCATGCTTCTCTGGTGAGCAGATTAAAGCAGATCTAACAATTTCTATGTCATCTTTCCAGTGTACAGCAAGCACAGCCAAAATGTGTATCTACGGCCTGCTTTCATTTGTGATTACCTCGTTTGAAGAAGAGAGCTTACAGGTATTACCTGGTGCTGTATTTGGAAAAAAAAAATCTTTCTATACCTTTAACCTGTGTCTGTTATTGACTTTTTTTTGCATTTTTTTGTTGCAGGCTAATGGTGTGGAGGAATCTCACCTGATAGAAGCTGCCTGTGAGGTCCTCTCTGCTCCCAGTTTAGCTGAAGTCTTTTGGGAAATGGTAAGAAAAATAAAACAAAGAAAAGGACAGAAACTGTAGCTAAAATTGTTCGTTAATATTGACAGTGTTGTTTTCTATATTTGAATCCAGAAGCCAAACAGGGGGCTGGGGATGATCCTGGACAGCGCAGCTGGGATGTTCCCCCACAAGATTGGACCTCTGCTGCAGCTTCTGACCGCACTCGTGTCCAACAAGTCGACTGTAAAGAAGGTGAAATATCTCACTGAACAAAAGTAGTTATGAGAGTCTCATACAGAAACAACAATGTTTTTTTTTTCCCTTCTTGTGTTTGGCAGGTGTATAACTTCTTGGATAAGATGTCCTTCTACACACAAGTTTACAAACATAAGCCCAATGACATAATTTCCAAGGATGATGAGACGTTATGGAGGCGACAGACTCCTAAACTTCTCTACCCTCTGGGTTAGTCCTTACATTTAATGTTATCTTTATAAATTAGGAGATCTTTGACTCATCGTGTGGTCCTTCGTCAATAAACAGGCACGGGGCAGACGAACCTGTGGATGCCCCAGGGAGTGCTGGGTCAGGTGATGATAGCCGGGGAGCAGGGCTACATGGTGAGGTGGGACTACTCGTACAGCGCTTGGACTCTATTCACCTGCGAGGTGGAGATGCTGCTGCACGTCGTCTCCACTGCAGGTACAGAAACATCCGTCAGTCGTTCGGACAACAACCAAATCTGAATGAAATTTGATTGGAAGAAAAACACCTTTATTTACCTTTAAACTGTTGACTTGTCACTGAAGTTATTCTGTTACATAATCTGATTAGCGTCTTTCTAACTAATTAACGGGTTTGTTTGAAGATGTTCTCGCTCACTGTGCTCGTGTGAAGCCCATCCTGGATCTGGTCCATAAGATCATCAGCGTGGACTGGACTGTGTCTGACTGTTTGTTGCCTCTAACTTCACGCATTTACATGTTGCTGCAGAGGTAATCTAACTCCAGACATATTTGTCAAAAATGCTTATTTTGTTGATCCTATGAGGCACTTCTCTCTTGTCAGGTTAACGTCGGTCATCAACCCTCCAGTGGATGTGATTGCCTCCTGTGTGAGTTGCCTCTCTGTCCTTGCTGCCAGGATGCCAGGGAAGGTGTGTGTTTGTTTTCTCCTAATTTAGAAGAAGAAATAAATCCAGATCTTTAATCATCTTATTTTTGTGTCCTTTTTGACCCTCAGGTGTGGTCTAGTCTGCATCACACCGGTTTCCTCCCCTTCGCCTCCAACCCTCTGACCAACATGGCCCAGTGTATCAGGTAAACCAAAAACACCAGATTGCATTTGGCTGAATGTTTGGATTTGTCTGGAAAATATCAGACGCATTTTGTTTTTTCTTAAGTGCTGAGGGGATGAAGGCGGGTAACTACGGCAACCTGTTGGTGCAGATTGAGCAGCCCAGAGGGGAGTATGCTGTCACCATTGCCTTCCTTCGTCTCATTACAACCTTAGTGAAGGTAAAAAAAAAAAAATCTTTTTTTTTTTTAAATGAAGTAAGGATCTGAGATGAAGTCCTGCTCTTTCTACATAATTGCTTTCAGGGACAGCTTGGAAACACTCAAAGCAAAGGGCTGATTCCCTGTGTGCTGCTGGTGTTAAAGGAGATGCTACCTACATACCATAAGTGGCGTTATAATACCTATGGAGTCAGAGAGAGAATAGGTAAACATCTGTTGTTGTTTTTTTTTTGTTTCCCTTTCCTCACTACAAGAACCCTGAGTAAAGAGTTGACATGTCTGTCTCTGCAGGCTGCTATATCTTGGAGTTGATACACGCCATTCTCAATCTGAGCCCGGAAGGGGAGGAGCAGGGCAGGTATGGGGACACTTTCTCTTTATTCTCATTTTTATTTAACGTTGTTAAGGTCATTTAGAGAGCTGGGATGTGGGGTTAAATAATTAAATATCAGTTTCCCCCTAAATCAGTCCTGTATTCTTTATTTATGTTAGATTGGATATTTGGTTAATTATTTCTGTTCTCTGACCTGCTGGTTCTAGTCAGTTTCCATCCTAGAATATTTCTAGCACCTTTATTTTTTAGCACTCTGCCTCCCTGAGTGTAGTTTGTCTTTTATCAACGTACTGCAGGTTTTAATGACTGCTGTTTTTATCTGTGTAGGCTAATGTTGTTAAAAGATTGTATTTCATACTTGTTTAAATGTGGCTCTTTCCTGTGTCCTTGCAGCACTCCCACCCTGCAGTCCCTTTGTATCTACAGTTTAGCAAACACAGAAGCTGGACAGGCCGTCGTCAACATCATGGGTGTTGGAGTGGACACCATAGATGTTGTCCTGGCTGCACAGCCAAGCAGGTAAACAACTCAATATAAAGTTTTTTTCTTCTCCTTATCACATTCTCTTTTTATCATTGTTTCTTTCTTTATTAATTTAAATGTTCTCTGATGTTCTTACAGCTCTGGCTCTGAAGGTCCGGGTCAGATTCTGATCCAGACGGTCAAACTGGCCTTCTCTGTCACCAACAACGTGATCCGTCTGAAGCCCCCGTCCGATGCGGTGTCCCCCCTGGAGCAAGCGCTGACGCATCACGGCGGCCAGGGCAGTAACCTCATAGTGGTCCTAGCCAAATATATTTACCACAAACATGATCCAGCTCTGCCCCGGCTTGCCATCCAGCTCCTAAAGCGGCTCGCCACAGTAAGGCTTTCTCTGCCCCGGCGCCCATTTAGATCTGATGGAGTCTTTTTTGCACACATCCCCACCAAACTCCTTTTGTTTGTAGGTGGCTCCCATGTCCGTATATGCCTGCCTTGGCAGCGATGCAGCGGCTATCAGAGATGCATTTCTTGCCCGGCTGCAGAGCAAAACGGAGGACATGAGGATCAAGGTGATGATCCTGGAGTTCCTCACAGTTGCTGTGGAAACTCAGCCAGGCCTCATTGAACTGTTCCTCAACCTGGAGGTGAAAGATGGAAACGAGGGGTCTAAGGTAGGGAGCAGACCGCTTTAATGTTTTCTTTAAACATTATAGCGTCTAGATATACTATATCTATGATGAACCTGCAGGAGTTTCTAGTGGGGGAGTGGAGCTGCCTCCATGTGGTGTTGGATCTAATCGACTCCAAGCAGCAGGGAAAGTATTGGTGTCCTCCGCTGCTCCACCGGGCAGCTCTGGCTTTCCTCCTGGCCCTGTGGCAGGATCGCAGAGACAGCGCCATATCTGTCCTTCGCACCAAGTAAGAACACACATGTAAAACAAAATAAAAGAAGATAAATATATGCATGTTTTAAGAGTTAATGAAAACCTGACGGTGTTTTGCTTTTGTGTGCAGGGAAAGATTTTGGGAGAATTTGACGACTCCTCTATTTGGAACCCTGACCCCATCATCGGACACCGCAGAGGTCCTCATTTCCCTTTATAAAAAAAACAAAAAAACCCCAAAAAACAATGAATTACATCCTAATTTCACTTTTCTAAAATAACTGCTTAATGATAAACTGGATACTTATAAACACTGATGGTTTGTCATCATTAGCCGTGTGTTCTGGAGGCCTGTGCGTTTGTCATGAAAATCATCGGTCTGGAGATCTACTACGTCGTCAGGTAGACTTCTGGTTCTGAACTGACAACAGAAATCAAGATTAAAAATATAAAGCTGGTCTTTAAATGTGCTGTTCCTGTGATGTTACAGTGGTTCTTTGGAGCAGTCCCTGAAAGACGGCCTTCAGAAGTTCTCAAACGCACGGCGCTATGACTACTGGTCTCAGTATGTGAAGTCCTTGGTTTGCCATGTGGCCGAGACTGAAGAGGACGGTATCTGCTTCTTCCAAGAGACACAGATGCTGATTTCTGCTTGGAGGATGCTGCTGATTCTGTCCACCACACATGTATGTTAATGCTTACTCCGTTAGCTTTTATTTTTTTATGAATGGTTTTCATTAACTTCATTTTTTTCATATCAATTAAGTTTGTTTGAATCTCATCTTAAGGATAAGGTATTTTATTCTGACTGATCTCGAGATGTTTTTCCTTTTTAAGGCATTTGATTATTGGTTCTGTCTGGATTGTTGGCCGAGGAACAGAAAGTCAGTTTCTTTTCATGTTTTTTTGTTGTTTTTTTTTTCAGGCTGATGTGATGCATCTAACGGAAGATTCAACCAAGCTTAAGCTGTTTATGGATGTTCTAGATGGGACTAAAGCTGCTGTAAGTCACAATATAAAAAAACGTTCCTCTTTGCTTTATTTTGAATTTGGTTCCAATGTTGCCCCTCCTCTTTTTTCAGCTGACCACACCCACATCCATGGCTTGTTTTCGGCTGGGATCCATGATGGCTACTCTCCTGCTTATCCTCCTGAAGCAGTGGAGAAGGTGTGTAACGTCTGTTGCACATCTTTTATTTATTTTGTTATTATTTTTCTCTTCTCTGAACTCTTTTCTTCTGTGTTTAGTGTGGTAGCAGCGGCTCCTGACATCCTTTCTCCACTCTCCATCATTCTGGAGAGCGTCCTGCAGGCTGACCACCAAATGATGGACAGAACCAAAGCCAAAATTTTCTCTGCTCTCATCTCCGTGCTGCAGATTCAGGGACTCAATGGTACAAAATGTTCCTCTTCGCTTGTGTGTCCAATTTAAGCGTTCAGTGGTGGAAATCTTCTCAACTCTTAACTAGGTGGAGATATTTCCCAGCTGCCCCAGCTGTTGCTCTCAGTGTGTGAGACGGTGAAGGACGAGGCGCTGGCGCTCATTGACAACACACGACACATGAGTCAGATGGGAGACATGCTGGAGCAGGAGGACAGCATGGAGACGGACTGTCCTCGCAGTCTGCAGAAGGACCAGAGAGACGGGGTGGGTGACAGACGGGATCTGATTAACGTGGAAAACGTCATTTCCTCTCCATCCAGAGACTTCAGAGAGTTTTTCCATCTTGTTTTCTCAGGTGTGTGTGCTTGCTTTGCACTTAGCCAAAGAGCTGTGCCGCACCGATGAGGATGGTGAGCACTGGGTGTCGGTGATGAGGAAGGTCCCGGTCCTACCGTCAGTCCTGAGCGCCGTGGAGATCAGTCTGCGCTGCAAACACAACCTCTACTTCACCGAAGCCGCGCTCCACCTGCTCCTGACTTTAGCCCGCACTCCTCAGGTATACAAACGCAACCAAATGCTTCTCATTTCTAAAAGTTTTTACCATTCTGATCTAAAGGAATGGGGCGTTGGCTTTGTACTTTTAGGGGGCAGCAGCTGTTGCTGGAGCAGGAGTTGTTCAAACCATTTGCCTCCCCCTTCTGAGTGTGTATGAGGTCTCCTCTAACGGTGCATCACAGGTAAAACACACATTCAGTTTAAAAAGCTTAAAGGAAACTATGGACGTCTATTTTTTTATTGTTTGAAATTCAGATCAGTTATACTTTTTTTGGAGGCTCTTATTGTGAAAGGGTTGTTTTACAGCCCTTCACAACAAGAGCTTCTGCTACAATGCAGTCAGATAAATCTGACCAGCTGTTAATGAGCAGGGATTCAAAAACCAGTTGCTCGGCTAACTGTGGCCAAACTCACCATTAGCATCTCAGTAGCTGGTAGAGTTAGGCTAACCTTTATGTAGTCATCATTAAAACCAGTGATATTTATAGACACCGTAGAGCTGCAGGCATAGAAAAGGACTCCCTCTATTCTTGCAGCCAGGCAGTATTTTCTAATCCTTAACATCTAAGATCAACACACATTCCATCTATCAGATTGTTTGTTCTGCGATCTTTCTTTCTTTTCTATGATCCCATTTTCATTCCCCTCTAACCTCCCCTTACCTGCCTTATGTCATTTCTTTCTGCTCTTTCCTCATAAAAATCTGCATTACTGTAGATGTATCTTCCATAGATTCATAGGGAAATTCTATTTGCTTATAAAAGGGTGAGGTAGTGCGGTGATTTTCAAATGAAAGCTGTAAAGAAACCCTGATTAGAGCTGCATTCATGTGCCTCAGAGCTTCTCTAGGAAGTCGCAGGACTCTGCCTGCTGGCCAGGCGTGTACCGCCTCTGCATGTCTCTCATGGAGAGCCTCCTCAAGACTCTTCGCTACAACTTCATCAATGAAGCCCTGGACTTCGTTGGAGTGCATCAGGAGCGCATATTACAGGTTGGGCCGCTGTTATCAGATTCGTTAGCCTCCTTTTTTCATTCAACTTAAGTCTCACCCTTGCTATTTAGAATCTGCTAAACTTTAAAATGTTCTTTGAGGTTTGTGGCTGTAGTTTGGTTTCACCTTTAACAGATGCCATCAACTGAGATGGTTGAGGTGACATTTCAGAAAGTTTCCTCTCTGTTCAGTGTCTGAACGCGGTGCGGACGGTGCAAAGCCTTTCCTGTTTAGACGAGGCGGATCACACGGTGGGATTTCTGCTGCAGCTCTCCAGCTTCTGCAAAGAGTGGCAGTTTCATCTCCCCAATCTGCTCAGAGACGTGCAGGTGAGTCTGACTTAAATCACAGCATCAGTAGAAGATTCTTCAATGTAATCTGTGTTCCTCTGTCATTCTGTCTGTAGATAAACCTGTGTTACCTGTGCCAGACATGCACATACCTGCTCCACAGCAAAAAGATGCTCCACCATTACCTACAGGTTAGGATCTGAGCTTTTCACTTTGAATTCGGTGAAGGTAGGGTCATTGTAACTGAAGGTGCATTTTGTGTTCAGTCTAAGAATGGTGAAGCGTTGCCTCCTGGCCCTCGAGCTCAGCGGCCTCCTCAGACCTTGAGTAAAGATGCAGCATCAGGAGGAGGAGACAGAGAGGAGGCTGAGCAGAAGGCCTTGTTGGCCGTGCAGTGCAGCCTGCTGAAGATCCTCAGTAAAACTCTGGCTACTTTGCAGCACTTCACTCCAGACTGCTGCCAGATTCTGCTGGACCAGGTCACTCCCTCAGAATGAGTCTTTTCTCATCCAAAAACGATCAAATTATCATTTATATAACGCTGTGATATTATTAGGATAAAATCCTGACTGTATTGGTGCCTGTTTTTCAGTGTATGGACCTGGCTGAGTACAGGACCCTGTTTGTGCTCAGCTTCACAACTCCTGCATTCGACCCCGATGTGGCGCCATCATTTGGGACCCTGCTGGCCACCATCAATGTGGCCCTGGGCATGCTGAGTGAGGTGGGTTTGGAATACCCCAAATGTCTGTCAATCAACCCAAAATTACCGGAGTGATGATTTTATGCTGTTTGTCTTCAGATGGAAAAGAGGAAGGAGCCAGCATCTCTGAGCATAGCTTCTCTGGCTTCATTGGAGGAGATCCAGGCTCTGAAGTAAGACAAAGAAAGAGCAGGATCGCTTTTGTCTTAGTTTGAAATTAGGAAACCGTTATGCTGAAATTATCATTTAATATTCCAACTTTGTCAGAGCTGAATCTGTTACGTTGCTGCCTCTAATAAGAAAGTTTGGTGTTTATTTGATTTCATTTTTATCTTCTAAGTTGGTACAAATCTATTTAAACTTTATAACAGTTTCTCAGCTAACTGGCTCTTCTTTTTATTAGGCTCTCTAACTGACCCCTTTTAAATTAATATTTGAATGTATTTATGCAAAGGCAGCTAATCCCACTTATTATTCTTTGTTTTTTTTCCTTCATTTATTTGAATCTTTTTCTACATAAATTAGTGCTGCTTAAATGGGAGCAAATGACAGAAATAAATGCACAGGGAGGTCCTATCTGGGCACTCTGCTGTTGACTTCTTTCATAAAACAAGTTCATTTTAAAATTTCAGAATTAAATGATTTAATTTCCTGCACTAAATCTAATTCAAATGGAAACAAATATATCTAATAATTCTGCCTAGAAAATAAAATGTATGATGGTGATGATTGTTGTTTGGATGACATCCACCTCTTATAAAGTTCTAATTCAGACATATTGGCTGTATGTTACATTTATGCCATTGAAGGGGGAAAAATGGAGCATAATGGTTGAAGTTTTTCTTCCAGGTCCTTGCTGATGTTTACCATGGAGAACTGCTTCTACGTTCTCATCTCTCAGGCTGTTCGCTGTCTCAAAGATCCAACCATCCTCCCTCGAGACAAACAGAGGCTCAAACAGGAGCTCAGCTCTGAACTGGTGAGAGTCCAGGGCTGAATGTCCGCCATAATCACTATGTAGTGATTTCGCCATTTTAATTGAGTGTCCGAACGTCTAGTGGATGAAAAAGTAGTGGACTTGAATTTCCCCAAAATTCACCTTGAAAAGTAGTGATCATCCATGGTCATTAGACAAATAGATATATCCCGGATTGCTTTGCGAGGAGAGCTCTGCTCACAAAGCATTATGGGATTAGCTGTCACAGTGGCTCGCTGTCGCTACCTGATAGCGGCAACAAATAAACAAAGATGGAGCAGGCACCACACTGTGGAGGCGGAGTTACGTGACCAACAGGGATTCACAATTATTGATAATCTGTCTGAACGGTCAGTTAACGTAGTTCACTATAAAATCCACTATATACTCCTCGCTCTAAATAGTGATTGAGGGATTTAGGCGTTAGGGCAGACGTTCTGCATCGGCCTATTTCTGCTTTTGTGTCGATTCTTACTTCATCTTTCTGTGTCTAAGTGTTAATGTGCTAAATTTATGGAGTTTACATACCTGCAAGTTTTGAAAATATTAAACTATGAGGATAATGTTAGTTACCTAGACATAAAACAATATATTAAACCCAGATTAGTTTTATTTGGCGTTTTGCTATTCTGTCATAAGTAACTATAAATATTATTTGCTTCATTTTGCTGCCATTTTATTCCTATATTGCATCATTTGTCTTCTTACTGTAAAATAAACGGATAAAGCTTTTATTTAATGAGATGAAATATTCATTAATAGGACCCAAATTAGTAACAGCCAGTATTATAATCCTGCTTATTTAGTTTCCCTTTGGAGTCACAGAACTTTACTCTTAGTGCACAGAAATTACATTTTTTTTTCTTTAACTCCTTAATTGTTTTGTAAATGGCTCCTATAACCATTCAGAAGACACCATTTCCTCTAGCTAGCTCTACAGCTTATTGTGAATCTGAAAGGGATTAACCCCTTACTGATTTTTATTTTCTTTTTTCAATCATGAAAATACCATTAAAACTGATTCTAGATCATCTAAGAGCCAGCTGGCTGTGTGGTGGTTTGAAGAAATAGAATATTTCAACTGTCTAAAGGCTACTTTAAATCAGTTTTACAGTTCAATATAAGATTTTTTTTGTTGTTTTGATGAATAATTAACAATCTTTATTTTCCAACTTTAGAGCACTCTTCTCTCCAGCCTGTCCCGCCACTTCAGGAGGGGTTCACCATCTTCCCCAGCTAGCGGCATCCTGCCCTCTATTCAGTCCAAACCGCCCACCCCCGGCTCCAAGGCCAGCCATGAAGGCCAGGAGCACATCATCCAGCTGGTTCAGGCCTTCGTCAGACTTGTTCAAAGATAAATGTTGGAGTTTGGTCCTTTATACAAACAAAATCCTACATTTCTGACATATTTTCAAATGGAACATTTTCTAGCGGAAAGCCCTAGTTTGAAGTAAACAGATGTTGTTCAGGGCCTTGAAATGTTTGACATTAATGTTCAATATTCAGAGTTCAACTGAATATTTCTACCATAACTTGAATACAGCCTGATATCTTTCAAACTTATTTTGATGGAGAACTGAGTCTGTAGGGATCTTGGTGCTCTTTCTTCTTTATTTGCTGACAGGTCCATCATTCCCAGGCCTAGTTTTATAGGTCACTGACAACCTGATGACTAGAAACGTCTAAAGTGCTACTTAAATATATCCTCTGCATGACCATTTAAAAAAAATCCTATTCAGCTTCTGTCTTTTTGTTTTCACTTTTCTTTTTAAAATAAGTTCTTGCTCAGAAGTGATGGCCAAAATTTGTAATTTCAAAACAACTGTATGTTATTAAAGGAAGTTTTGTATCACAGTAAAAGTTTGTTTTTCTTTCAAATCAAACTGCATCAGACCTCTGGGATTCAACATGATAGTTTCCTTTACTGCATTTGAACACATTTCCCCACAGTAGCTTAAAGCCATCTCACACACAAGCTAAAACAGTAATAAAATACTTTGCCATATAAAAATTGATAAAGGAAAAATATTTTTTTACAGCATTGGATGGATTGCTATTTACAAAGGCATTCTTTTAAAATAAACATACAACTTGAGTACCTCAGTAAAAACAAAAAAAGTAAAGGTTGTGCAATTCGGGTAAAAAAAAAAAAAAAAAAAAGGCATTAATTTCTGGGGACAAGCTCGCACCTCCCCAGCAGGACATAAAGGCAGGATGATATCTGGGTTCAAAAGCTAAAATCAAAGGCAGGGTTGGGTTTAGTCGCTGCAGTGCAAAAATTAGGCACCGTTGGAATCTGATGATTCAGAGTCTTTGTCTGGTGTTTGTTTGGAAACAGGAAAACTTCTCTGTCCAAACGGAGTGTCCACTACTGCCCACCGACTGGGACCTCCTGAAACACAAGGTTGTGACGCCAGTTAGCGGGGATATGAGAGGGACCATTTAGTCTCAAACATGCAGGTCAAAAACTGAGTTGGGATACAGAAACATGCAGAAAATTTATAGAAACGGGACATTTTGATCTAAATGCCAACTCGGTTAAGGTTAAAACAAAGTGGTTCCGTGACTGACAACACAAACTGCTCCAATGGTTTTATTTCTGAAAGCTGATTCCTGGTAGATTTTAAAATGCCATTAATCAGGCATCAATTACTAAGATAGCAGAACACAGCAATAAAACATGTTATTTAATATAGTTCAGAAATCACATTTTAAGCATAAATACAGTTTATTTTTATATTTGTGTAAATTGAACAAACTGGTCTAGATGTATTTATAATAGTGTCTACTGAACCCAAATGGATCCATTTGAAACTTACGGTGCCCTGCAAGAGTTTCCTTTGAATAGTTTTCACATTTTATCAATCTACAAACTTCAACTTATTTGCATTTTAATGAAAGACCAACATAAAAGACACCTATAGTGTATGGAACACAGTTATTTTTCACTTTAAAAAAAACTGGAAAATGTCTTCATATGTATTTAGCCCCCTGTTAAATGGGTCCAACCTAGCAAATAAAGGGTTATTTTCAGGGTATCCAGCTAAAATTCGTAACCAATGGCAACTCCAGGTAAGAAGTAAAAAAAAAAAAAAAAACTGGATACAAAGATGTAATTCCAACAGAAAATCTGTGGAAAGGCTTCAAATTTGCTATTTGTATTAATTTTGCCAAATCTTAAGCTACTTTTCAAAGAAAATGTCAGACTAAAGATGTGAAAAAGCTACTAGAGAACCAATATTTTTCTGCAGTTACAGAAGTATTGTTCAGGGGGCCGATCAGATTTCTCAAAGCACCGTTATCTCTTTTTAACAATGAGGCAATGTTTTTGTTGGTCCATTCCAGTAAAACACATTGAAGTTTGCGGTTGTAACCAAAGGATTTCCAGCCTGTTTCCACTTCATGCAGGAGCATTAAACTCATGCAAAGTCTCACCCTACAGACTGCAACCCAAACACTAACCTTCGCCTGGTCCTGCAGACGGGCCTTTCTGGCCAAACAGAGTGCAGTAATTTGTCTAATGTTAGTTTACAGGAAAAGCAAAGGGACAAAGAAGAATGATTCACTGCAGGACAGTTTTCCACTGTGGAACAAAAAATAAAATCGATAGGACTCTTAAAAGTGGGCAGTGGGATGGGAGGTTAACTCACCTCTAAATTCCCCCGAGCTTTCTTCAATACTCCATGAGTCAGAGACACTGGAGGGACAGACGGGGATTTTAACCAACAGAGCATCAGTGTAAACATGCAAACAGGTAGAGGAAAATAAACCGTACGCTGGTCGATGATGACTCGCTCCATTCCCTCTTTCAGCTGGTTGGTGGTGCGCAGACGTTTCACAGCTCCACTCAGCATCCTCTCCTGCTGAGATAATCTGTTCTTCAGTCTGGCGATCTCATTTTTCAGCAGCTCATCCTGGTGTGAAAGATAACAGGATGTTCAGTCTCCCTCAGAAGCTCGAGTAGAAAGCGCTGACAGCATGTGAGGTTGTTCCTACCTGCTGGTTGCTGGTGCTGCCCTCTGCTGTGCAGCCGGACGGCAGAGAGACTCTCCACAGTAGTTTGAGCAGTCGGCTGGCCTCCTCCAACACCTGCTGCATGGTGTTTGTGCTGCTGGATAAACTCTTCAAATGTTGCTTTTCTCTTAACTAAAAGTATTTCAAAGAAAAACAAAAAAACCCTCATATCATCACGAGTGCTGGATTCTTAAAGACAATATGCACATGAGGTGCAGTCAGTACCTCGCTGTCAGGGCCCTGTTGCCTGAGTACGTGCAGACATTCGTTCAGCTGTGCCTCCATGCTGCGAGACAGCTTCCTACCCTCAGAGATCTGCCTGCGAAGGGAGTTGTAGTCCTCGATCAAGCCGAGAATGTGGCGTCCATTGCGATTGGCCCACATCCGGTGGCCTGGAACCAGCCGGGAAGGAGCGCCTGAAATGCTTTCACCAGAGCTGCTGCACACTGAGACAGCGTCCGCCTCAGAGTGAAAATGATGTTGAACTTCTAAGAAAAACAAAGCGATAAAATAAAAATATTATTGATAGAATAGCTTCTTAAGAAATGAAGTGAGTGTTATTCCAGATCTGAACAGACTGTCTTACCATTGACAGTGATGTGCTGTTGGCTATGGAAGGAGCGATGCTGAGGATCAGAGCCTTCACGACCCGGTGATCGGCCTCCTTCCTCTGAGACACATGAATAAAAACAGTCTACATTTCTTTCTACTCGTACGTCTTTCCATTTCAATAGGACTGAGCTTCATGTTTACCCAGAGAAGACAGCAGGTAGTTGATGTTGATGGTTTCATTGCGACTGGGCCCTCTCAGCAGCTGCTCCTCCAGTTTCTGCCGCAGCGCTGTGTTAGTCTGGATGCTCCTCTCCAGCTGCAGCCTCAGATGTCGGATTTCTGACAAAAGCTCTGCAAGGTTCACCGAGCCAGAGGGAGACACAGGGACAGGCTGTGGGGTCTCCTCATGAGATTCTGATGGGGAAAGAAGGATAACCAATAGAACAAAAGCAAACTGCACAGTTAAACAACTTTGTGCACTAATCCAATTGTAACTCAATCAAAACACATTTAATTTACAATAATTAGGTTCAAGGAGCAGGCGTACACCTATATGAACCTTTTAAATGTGGTAGTGGATTCAGAACCAAGAGATCTGGACACATTACCGTGCTTTTGGGAGTCATATTTTAGGCTTTCGTAAACCTGCAGCTCAACTCTCAGAGACTGGAGCAGATGCTGGGAGTCAGAGAGCTGCTGCCTCTGGAGCTTCACCTCCCGCTGCAACCTGGAAACAAAGTTTGAACTCTTTAATACAATGAGAGAGGCTTCGGTTAATCTCATATAATATAATTATTCTATGTACATAAACAGGAGTAGGCGGTGCCTGAACGGCCGCCCAAGCTAAGTGGCAGAAAGGGAGAGTGAACCCGATTCCTGGTGTCGAGTTGCGACTGTGTGTGAAGGATCAGGGTCAGCAGGTCACACCTTCATTAAGCTCATGTGCATGAATGCTTTCCTGAATGACTTTTCAAATGACAAACTCAAGTTTTATTGTACTTATAGTGTAGAGCAGAGGTCTTCAACAGGGGGTCCGCGACCCCTAGGGGGTCCACAGAGGTACTGCATGGGGGTCGTGAAACTTTTGGTAGATTAGTCTTTTTTTTATATTACCCCCTGCAATTTTTTCCACTAATTGAAATTTATTTAAATACACATTAACATGAATTCAACACACTGTAGTAAACAGATAAATGGAGGCAGAAGATGTCTTTCAGTCATCAATGCACACATTAGTGACACACAGGAGCTCTTTCAAGCTGGGCACCATTTCATTCACAACACCTGTCCCATCAACCAGGAATCAGAATCAGAAATACTTTAATAATCCCAGGGAGAAATTACTTTCATTACATTACTCCATCTGTAATAGAGTGACTATAGGACCAGTTTGATATAACACAATTTCATACAATATATGTAATTAAGGGGTCCCCGCTCCATCTCGCCATCAGTTTGGGGGTCCTTGGCCTGGAAAACGTTGAAGACCCCTGGTGTAGAGGAAAGCTATTGGTGATGCATTGTTAGAGTTGCACCAAGGAGTGTTGTGTGCTTGCTGATTGTAGGATGTTGCAGGATGAGCTGGAACTCTGTGTTTGTTTGTACCTTTGCAGCTCCTCTCTGCTGGAGCGAAAGGAATTCTGCAGGAGCGAGTTTTCATGGCTGCTGTGCTCCAGCGTCTCCTTCAGTCTCACGTTTTCCTGCCTCAAATCTTCACATTCCTTCCTGCTCTGCTCCAGTTTGGCTGTCCGACGGGCCAGAGCTTCCCGGAGCTTCTCGTTCTCCTTCTGTTTGTCTAAAACAACTAGAACCGTTTGCAAGGGAAAATCTGACACCAACGATGGAATCGTGCTAATTAAGTAGAAACCAAATTTACCTCTGGATCCCATGTTGAGCTGCTCCTTCAGTACTTGATTTTGTTCCCAAAGGAACCGCATTTCATTAACCAGCTGCCCCTGCTCCTCGTTCCCGTGGATGAAAATGTTTGTGGCTGCTAAAAACAGCACATAAACATTTGTTGATCAATATTTAGAGGGACGACTGCATGCAGGAAAACTAAAAGACTAAATCTTAACAAAGACCTAGTAATGAATCAGGTTTGTAGTAGGATTCTGTACCTGGGTCCTTTTCCACCTCAGCTAATCTCCTCTCCAGCTGTTCTCTCAGGCGGTCATTGGTGCGAATGCTTTCCTCCAGGCGTTGTCGTAAAGCTCGGATCTCCTGGAGATGTTCAGCCAGCAGCTCTAAAATAAACAAACAACCAAATCAATGAGAGCTTTGTAACAATTGTACTCTGGCCGATTTGATTAAGATTAGCTGCTCGCACTTCAATTTGGAAGGCTATTCTATAAAAGCAAATACAATTCAATGATTGTTAATCAAATATAAACCAAACTATCATTTTTGTAGCTGAATGTATAAATTGTGAGTGTGTGCAAGAAACAGGTCCAACCTAAGCTCACGCTCAGCATTATGAAACATGTTCAGGTTTTGAAAGAGAATGTCTGTCTCCTCTTCTCCAACTATATCCTTTATTCTACCCTGATCAAATGTTTACAGTGATGCACAAAATCTACTCAAACATCCATTTCCCAGGCTGAGGTAACGCATACTGACCCTTATTGCCTTGTCAGTACAACAAGCAGCTGAAGTTTATGTGGAAATAGTAGCACGCCCTTTGGTCTAACCTTTAAAACACAAACTACAGCTGGCCGGCTTTCTACTCTTACAGGATCCTTTAAAAACTGCTTATTTCAGAGATTAATATTATTTCCAGACATTGAAGGGATGGGAAATTTTATGTACTTTGGTTGTTGGTTTAATACAAAGTTAAATTTCCCCCTTTTTAATTCTTCATATTTACCTGAATTCATGTGTGGCTTTTCTCCGCCTTTTTCATGTGAACTGATGTCTCCACCTTGTTTAGCTGCTCCTGTCTTTGGCTCCGAGACGTCCTCACCCTGATCCGTTTCCTGCTCTTGGTGATGAAAGCTCGTCTGAGCCATAATTGATCGATGCAGATCTAGTTCGCTGCGTAAGGTAGCGTTGAGCTCCTCGTTGCTCCTGAGCTGCTCCTGCAGGCGCCTGTTCTCTCTCTGCAAACCCTGCAGTCTGTGAGGAGGGAGAACTTTCTCCTGAGCTCCTCCTGCAGGAGAGACGGCTGTTCCTGTGTTATCAGCCCAATGCTGCTGGCCTGAACAGAAACAGAAGAATGACACTTGTTTTAAAATAAATGTACATTTCTTAACACTCTGACTAATTCCTAAGCTCCATGGTGCTCTACAAGGTGTATTTAATAAGCTTTTTATACATTTACTGCATATTGTCTCAAGGAATATACAATATGAGGACAGAACCAGATAGGTGCTACTGAATAATGCAGCTTTGAGTTTAGGTGGACTGAAACTGGACACCAGCAGTGGCATTGGTCAGGCTGCTTTGTCGTGCAGCACGCTTCAGTGCAACGGAATGGATCTGAGTGGAAAATAGTTACCATTTCAGACAGCAACCAGACTGTCTGTGCTAATAGTCAAGGGCCGAAGTGTTCATGAAGGACATTACACTTAGCAAGAAGTGGAGAAACATGCATTTTTAATCTTTTACACTAACCCTCTCCAGCAACACCTGAGACCACAGATCAAACCTTCTTAGTTATTTCCAAGGCTTTAACTCACTGTGTTCTCTGCTGCCACCTTGTGTGTTGGTGCTGCTTTGGCAGGAGGGAGCCGTCCGGTCCGAGTTGCTCAAGTTGCTGTCAGAGCTGTGGTGGCTGCTGGGAGTCTGGCATCCAATCTGACTCTGAAGGCTCTGAATGAGCTGATTCTTCTCCTGCAACTCCTTAGCCAACCTAGGAGAAGAAAAGAGTGATGAGAGTGTGAGAGTTTTTACTTCGGTTGTATGGCACCTTATGAAATGTCAGACCTTTAGAACTTCTTCATATTTTGTCATGTTGCAACCACAAATGCAATTTACTGTGATTTTTAGTGATAGAACATTGAAAAGAAGTAGAGCAGTTAAGAAGAATCCATTGTTCATATCTTTATGTAAATGAAAATTTCTCACAAGTTTGGAGTGCTTTTATATTCACCTCCTCTTCAGTCAGTATAACTTATAACAGTGTTTACTTTGTGTCCAACATTAAGATTTCTTTCATCATCAGCTGTCCATTCTATACATAAAATACATTAAAGTTGGAAACTGACAATACATGAAAATGATGGTGGAGCAAAAAATGGCATGCAAAAAGAAATCGAAAGAGAGCAGACATGCATCAAATGATCCTATCAAGGAGGATTAAGAATAACATTTATGGGAAACACTCAGAGGAAAATTCCAGCACAGCAACACGTCTGTCTAAATGAAACCAACTCACAGGGCTAGCTGCTCCCTAGTGTACTCAGCCAGACTGAGGTTTTGCTGGACTAGAAGTCTGATGTGCTGCTGTAACACGGCTCTCTCATCATCTAGCTCCAGACGCAGATAATCTATGTCCTGCTGGATTCTGGACAGGCTGTCATGGGGTTCCATCCCGCTCTCTTCATAAGAGAGAGGTACCTGCTGATGCTCCCCAAGACTGTCGCCATTAGCAACGAGTTAATTGTCATCACAATAATTTACGCTGAAAAAACATTTCAGCTACTTCAACAGCTATGAAAATGCTTGACCTCATTTAGGAGACTTGAAAGGATTTTAATCTTCTTAAGTAGCCAGCACGGTGCCTCATGTTTAACTACCGTGGTTCTAAAACAGCGTTAGCATAAAAAAGGAGATATGGCCAGAGCGCCATCCATCTCCAGTCATTGTATTCTTTTGTTATTGGAAATATTTCATAAAGTTAGTTTATTGAAAGTAGAAAAAAAGCGTATTTAAGCCAGCTGACCATCAGTGTGCAGCAATAGTTAAAAATGTCTTTGAACCTGTAACTGGCCCATGATTACCGATAGTTAACAGTCTGGATTTTTATTTTATGGTGTAGGAAAATAGCTGTCCAATCAACAGTTAAGCTCTGATTTGCCCATTTATGATGTTAATAGTAAACTCGGATCAATTTTAAAGTCTAAATGTTATTTAGAGCAGATTGATTTTTTATTAGATCATTATATATTAGTCATTTTCCTCCCAGCTCACTGTCAGCTATATAAACAGCTGCAGGTTTATACATTTTCAGGCCAAATTAATTTTTTGGAGACCTGTTTGACCGTATAGGATCTGAACCAACAATATCTATAGCTGCCAAGTCTAACCTTACACTTCATGCATGGTAAATGCTTTTTTTTCTAAACATATGTTATTGAAATGTTTACAGAATGTTACTAATTATTTTTATAATAAGTATAGAGTTTTTAATGTACCTGCGAGACAGTTCTAAGGCTGCTACGTCTTGATTAGCCAGATGAGATTCCTCTGGAAGACAGAAAAAAAAAAGATTTATCATGAATAAGTCTGTTTAAACCAGAACTGGATGACTGCTCCTTGTATTCAACTCTTTCCACTGCCTTTGTTTTGCATGACATACATATAAGCAGAATATCTATAAAAATATTCAGTCATACATTAAAGACCTAATTCAGGAATAGAGTAGATATCACATTCTTTATTAGTTACTGTAGTGGTTACCTTTATCCAGCCGGCCCTCCAGCCCATCTAGAAGGTTCAGACTCTGGTCCAGCTGCACCTTTATCACCTCCCCCATGTAGTAGTCCACTTCTCCAGCATCTAGCAGCTCTTTGAAAGCTTTGTTCAGCTCCTCTAGCTGTTGACGCTGCAGAGCTCCCAGCCGGCGGCTTTCCTTGATTTGCTGCCTTAGTTGTGACAACTCTCTGGCCTGCGACTTCACCAGAGAATCAAGCCTATAAAGAGGAAAACACTAATTCACCAAATGTGTTTACAATATTAAAGATTGGATTATTATAATCAGAGTTATATTTTAAGAAGTATGACCTAGCAGGTGATGTTGAGCGGCTGCGGGTTTGGTTGAGCTGTTCGCTTGTGGTGCGGTTTGGTGTTCTGTCTTTCCAAAGGTCCATATTCACAACATTGGACCTAGACTGATTCTCAGCCTCCCTTTGCCCCCTCAGCTTCCCACCACTTTCTGGACCATAATCCACTTTATGTGGGCCTTCTTTTTCCCTGATGCTGAGTGGGTCAGAGGTGTTGGCCACTATGTCACTAGACAGAGAGTTTCTGTGCAAGAGACTTTGCATTTGGAGGATGACTTTGGTCTGGTTTTCTAGCTGGACCTTCAGCTCTCTGACTTGTGCTTGAAGTTGTAGAGGGTCTTCTGATGCACCATACTCATCATATATCTGTAGGCCTTTCAGACTGACCTAAATTTAAAAAAATAAAAAAATAAAAAAAACAAGTAGCAGATGAAAAGCTGAATTGAGCATATGAATTCACAGAGAAAAATAAGATTTAAAGTAAAAATTTTAAGTAGAAAATTTCATGTAACTCCATTAGTAGTAATTGATGTGTTTTGCTGACACTGCAACAGGTTTTTCTGTCTTCTTCCAAACTAGATTGGCCTCCATATAATCCATGTCAGAGATGGATCCTTTTATAGACTTTAGATGTGCAGTGTAAATGATAATTTACTCTGGTATGAGGATTAAGTTTCAAAAAGATATTTTATTTGGAAACTTCTGTTTATGTGACTATTTTTCACATAAACATGGTTGCAAATTATAAAGGAAAATGAAACTGAATTTAGTGTCTGATCTGCAAAGTATCCCAGACAACTTTAAAGGGTTAGGGATTATTGACTGTGACTCTGTACTGAAAAATATATCAAATAACTGGTTAAAAAATAACACAGATGTGAGATATTAGTAGAATTAAATCATTTGTCTATTATTTAGGGATGTCCCTATACTACTCTTTAATTTCCAATATGATACCATTGTTGTGTTTTGACCAATAACAATATGGACTCAAATATGATATAAAATGGAACATATGTACATTTATTACTTATAGTGTGGAATATTAGAAAATACACAATCAAGGGACTTTCCTTAAACATGGAACCATTAGTCAATAACAATAAGTTTTAGAACAACTAAACCAATTATCATGAACATATGATAAACCTAACCTTCAAATAGAAACAGAGAGAAGTGGTGTATTTCTATCAGCATGCCTATTTAGATGCAGGCCAATATATTCCAATATTCATTTTTTGGCTAATACTGCATAGATTCCTGTTCTTAATATATGATTGTGTGATATCCCTTATATTGTTAAAATAAGCATTAAAATGTTTACTTTAGCTGAGCTGAGAGCTGGGGAACTTGGGTATGGGGTGCTGGTGTTTGAGTCCAAATTTTCAGTGGACGAGAAGTTGTTCTGTTCATTTTTCAACAGGGAGGGTAAACTGGAAGCACTGCAACTAGGGTTCACACCCACCTCTAGATCTGAAAGAAAGAAAAACGAAAATGGAAAACACTGAGAGACATATTGCCACAGAAGGAATCAATTATTCCATATGCAGGTAGACTTGATCAAGGCTAGAAATCAGACTGAGAGGTTAATAAGTGTTTGAAAGACATTCCCAAACCTTAGAGTGAAACATGCAAGAACTGATCGGTGCAAATTCAAATTGGGGGAAATAGTGCAGAAGAAACCCAAAGTTAAAACCAGAAAATAGACTCTGTGTTATGAGAACCCATCTGAAGACAACCTGCTTTTCCATCCTCATGCACAGTTTTAGGGAAAGGATCTATCCACAAGTGAGATTAGAGTCCACCCAGCAGATGACATGCAGTCTGCCTATAGTCAGTCTACCTGTGCTACTGCTTTCTTCCCTATCGTTTTCACTCTTGCCACTGGTTTCGTAACCCAGGTCCTGCAAATCCACCTGCACGCTTTTGTCTCCCTGCTCAGGAGCTGCTATTAAAAGCAATACATTTCATACAAGTTAGAAACTATGCATCAAAAGGTAATGTTGTATCGCTTTTCACAGTTTTTTTTTTTTTTTTTAACTATCAGAACATTTACTTCAACAGTTGCAAGAATACGTTATCTAACCTTTCTGTGCAGTTTCTGGAGACGTGTTGGTTAGAGCAGTGGCCAGTTTCTCTTCCAGGCTTTTACAAGCTTTCTTTTTCTCCCTCAGAGCCTTATGTAAAGTCTCTAGTTGGAGCTTAACATCTGGTGATAATCCTTTGCCGTCTTGTGCAGCCCTGTGGGTTTCGCTCTCTCTTCTGTGACTTCTCTCTTCTTGCATGGATACCTGGAGATCAGCTATTCTTTGAGAGTAATCACTGAAAACCTTGTAAAGGTGACAAAGGTCCTGATGGAGCTTCTGTCCTTCAGTTTCAGCTGAAGCGGTGGACACATTCCTGCTGTATTTCTTTCCTTGCTCAGCAGATTCAGTCAGTTTGCTTCTCTCTTCAAGGGCTCTGTGAAGATTATCGAAATCCTTCAGCAGGTCATCGCTTGGTTCTAGTTTATCAGAAGCCAGGTTAGCAGTGTTTTTACAGTGGGCTGCTAACGAGGAGACGGCTGACTCTGTTGCACTAAAGCATTTCTTTAACACCTTTAGCATTTCCTGCTGTAAATGAGAGTTACTAGAACCTTTCTCTGCATCTTGGTCAACCCCATACTTATCTTCAAGCATCCCTGCAGTTGCTGGTCTTTGCCTACAGGTGGGGCCATTTAAGTGGGCATGGTCACTATGCTGTGCAGCTGCATTTGCAGTTCTTAACTGCTCCTGGAGCTCAGCATTTAACTTACTTTGTTGTAAAAGTGCCTTTTGCAAAGAGTCTGCATGTTGCTGCAGCTCAAGGTCAGGGTCCCCAGTATGGTCGCTGACATCATTTAGGCTATTTCTGCTTGACTGTGTATGAACCTGATGTATTGCCCCCTCTATCCTTGAACAAAGAGCATCAGTTTCAGGTGTCTTATCTTGGCTCTGAGAGGAGGTGATGGCCTTTTCTGCCATGTTCAGCAGCTCAATAAGCTGGTTGTTGAGTTCCTCTTTCTCCTGTAGGGCTTTCTGCAACTCCATGCATCTAATGTGGAGGTCAGCATCAGAACCCATAGTATAACCAGAAAGTGTACGTGAATCAGGGTTGCTTTGGTTGTCCAGACTGTAGGCAGTCAGATAAGCAATGGTGGATTGTGCAGCCTGCAGGGCCACTGAGTACTCGCTGTTCAGTCTCTCCTTCTCCTGCAGCTGAACATGGAGCTCCTCCATGTCAGAAAGCTGCTCGTGCATCTTGTTGATCAGAGCCTCCTTTTCCTGGCATTCCTGGTTTAGAAGCTCAAGCTGAGATAATAGAGAGGATTCACAGTGGGAGGGATCCACTGGTATTCTAGGTTCAGTTTCCTTGTCGGAGCCTTCTGTGGGACTGCAGCTAGTGTGTGAATAAGTGATGGTGGAGGAAGGGGGGGTGTTGTGATGAGGTGATAAATCAAAGTTGGCATTTAGCTGCTGGTCTGAACCCGAAACACCATCCAAACTAGGGTCCTGCTGTGCATCAGTCTGCCTCCGGTCAGAGGCCACAGATTGCGAGTTAGGGCTACCCTCCACTCTGAGCCTGACAGGCACAGGGAGGCGGGATCTGACTCCAGCCTAAATTTGAAACAGAAAATCAGACAAACATTATAAGTACTGGTAGTTAGAAGCAATACAAGAAAAATATTTTATTTATTTTTTTCTAAAACCAGGGAAAACTTGCCCTGTGTCTTGCCACATGCTGCTTTGGAGTCTTGTTGTCTTGTTGACTTTGAGGTTTCCGACCTCTCTCATCCACAGTGCTGATATTAGCTACTGTAGTGTTTCCTTGTGATGTATTGTTTGTTTTCTTTGTAGTTTCCCTTGGCAGATTACAGATTATGGATCCATCTTCAGATTCAGGTTGAAATGTTTCCAAACTTCTCCTTGATTCAGCCTGACCATCACTGCTGTTCCCTGAGACATCTGCACTCTCCTTTTCTTTACACTCAGTGGATTTCTGTTCCTTCAGGAGACCCCACAGCTTCAGGTTTTCCGATCGAAGTCGGAGTAACTCCTCTCTGCAATCAGCAGTTTTTAGTTAGTGTGATACTGAGTTAATAGTTATGCATCAAAGCTAACATACCCTTCAATTAAAGATAGAAAAAGCAGCGGCCAGTAAAATAAATTGAACTTGACAAAAGTAAAAAA